CGGCGGCGGAGCGGGGGCCCGGGACGGCGGCGCCTACCAGGGCGCGCTGCTGACCCGCGAGCAGTTCTCGGGCGCGCTCGGGCGGCCCGTGGGAGCCTCGTACCCCACCACCTACCCGGCCTACGTGAGCCCAGACGTGGCCCCGGCTTGGACCGCAAGCCCCTTCGAGGGCAGCGTCCTACAAGGCCTGCAGGGCCGCCCGGCCGGGCTCGGAGGCCGCAGGGCCGCCTTCGGTGAGTCCGGGGCCGGGGCCGGGGTGGGCCTGGGCCGGGTGCTGGGCCGCTCGCGGAAATCCCGCACCCTGCGAAATGAAATGCGGTCCTGTCCCCGCGTGGGGCCTTCCGGGCCAGTGCGACCTCGGAGCGGTGAGCCACGGGAATGCGGTGCCGCGCCCGCCCCTCGGCGAGGAACCCCGCATCCGAATCCTTTCTAGCGAACAGAAAGCGCCTTTCATTCATCCGAACCCCAAGAGCAGTACGGATTGTCCTAAACTTTTTTTTGTTTTTTTTTTTTAAAGTTTTGCAAATGATTTTTATAAAGTTAAAAATACCAGATTATTTAAGTAAGTCGCCACATTTATTCATCTGACCTAGAATGTTTGCGTTCTGATTTGACACCCGGTTTCGATCCTTGCGGGAGCATAGCTGCGAATCATCGGATTCCGGATCTATAATGCGGGATGGTCCCACCCGGGTTCTGAGTACGCTCCCGACACCGTTAGGCTGAAAGCCCAGGGCCACACCTCTGTGCTTGAGCCCTGGGGATCCCCTGGACCATCCTTCTGGGGCCCTTGGGGCTTCGACGTTGCGGGGAGCCGCCTTTTGGCCCAGGCATAGCAGCGGGGACCCCTGGCCCTGGCGTCAAGGCAGCCCCAAGCCTGGCTCCCACCCCGGGTCGGGAGATGATTGATCCTCCCCCCGCCCCCGCCCCCGCTGCCGCCTGCGCGTCGCCGGCGCCTGGCCAGGCCTGGAGGGGACCCGTGAGCTCTCCGCCCCCGGGCTGCCACCGCTCTGTTCTGCCTGGAGAGGGAGGACAGGAGATAGCGTTGCGACCACAACAAAGCTGACAGGCGGTCCGAGCCCTCCTAAGTTGTTTTTTTGCTGTAGTTTTTGGTTTTGTTTTTGTTTTTTTGAGACAGGGTCTCTCTGTGTAGTTCAGGCTCTCCTTGAACCCACTGTGTAGCCCTGACTGGCCTCCTCCTCACGGCAGACCTCCTGCCTCAGCCTCTGGTGTGCTGGGATTACAGGAGTGTGCCACCATGCCCAGCCCAGCTCCTTGTAGGATTTTGAGACTAGTGCAGCTTCATAGCCCCTGTAGGTTCACCTACTTTGCAGAGGGCCCCAGCAGGGTTGGCAGCACCACCTAGCAAAGGCGCAGGCCGGATAGAGCCCCGCGAGCGGCGCCTTCCTCGGCGATGTAGGCTGGCTTGCTTCCCCTGCAGCTCAGAAATACGGTGCCGGCACCAGACCCTGGTCAGGAGAGGGCCACCCCAGGTGTTCGCCCAAAGGCTTGGTTTATTGTTCACACTCCTCCCCGACAGAAAGGAGGCTAATGAATTTTATTATGTGCAAATTAAAAGTAAAAATGAAGTGAGACTGAGCGCCTAAGTGCTTGAATAGAGTAAGTTTAAGGCACAATTGCAGGAGGGTGGAGAAGCTGAAGAAGCACTTGGCCCCAGGGGCAGGCAGAGGCCCGGCTGGCTCAGCTCACAGGCTGCCTGTCCTGCAGTGTCCGACTTCTTGGAGGAGTTCCCCGGCGAGGGCCGTGAGTGTGTCAACTGCGGCGCCCTGTCCACGCCGCTGTGGCGCCGAGACGGGACGGGCCACTACCTGTGTAACGCCTGCGGCCTCTATCACAAGATGAACGGTGTCAACCGCCCGCTGGTGCGGCCCCAGAAGCGCCTGGTGAGTGCAGCCGGGTGGTGGGGCAGCCAGCGCGGCCAGGGCTTAGCAAGGGGAGTGCTCGGCTCTCTGCACTCCCGGCCTGTGGTAACCTCCGGGGCTGAGGGGGGCACTAAGCGTGCCAGAGCGGGTGGGCGGCCCCCCTCATAGCTCCGCTGCCCTCCCCTGGCATCGCGCAGGTGCAGGCAGGGGTCAGGAGGGGGACTCCTGGTGGGGATGCCTGCTCAGCACCCCCATTCGCCGTTTCCCAGGAACTAGTGCTCAGCTACCTGCAGGCCGCCGGCTTTTTGGCAGGGCCTGGTTTGGGGGCAGTCTTTGTCCGGTGGGCGGGAAAGGAGGGCAGTGCGCCCAGGGGAAAGTGTGGCTGCCGGGTAGGTGCTTTGTGGAGACAGTGAGGTCCTCAGCGGGAGGCTCTTTGGATCTGTGACCCCTGAGGAGCAGTTTCTAGCATACTTCCTGGACCCCAGGAAACTGGGCTTCTCTGACTCTTCCCAGCCTTGTTCAGCAAAACTTTTCAGTTTTGATTCTTCCTAGTATGTGTCAGGAGTGGGGGATCCCCGTGTCACCAGAAGTTGCACAGGAGTGTGAAGCGGCTTTGTTCTGACCCTCAGAAGGACAGACCTCTAAGTTTACAGATGAGGGCTGGGAGTGTCGATGTTGTGTGCAGGTTGGCTGATGTTAACAAGGTCTCTGGTCCAGCAGGGTGCCCTACAGCACCAAGTCCGTGGATTTGACAGTGTGAGTCCCATGCAGCACCAGCGCCAGTGTCCCCGGAGAGGGAGGGAGTCCTGTGGTGGAGGAGGTCGTGCTCTGGCCTCTGGGGCTATGGCTCTGCAGGGCACTCGGGTCCGTGGGGGCCCGCAGCCTGTGCTGAGACAGCCCCTCCAGCTCCAGTAGGCAGGAGCTCCTGGGCAGCAGTGCCTGCCTTCTCCTGGGAGCTGGCCCTGGCCTGGGAATCTGCAGGCCTCCCTCCACACGGCCTTGTGCTGGGAAGGGCACCTGAGTCCTCATCACCCTCGGAGCCCTTCCTGCAGCAGATCCTGCCCCTCCCGGCTTCCTCATCCGGTCCTCTGGCCTCCATGATGGGGAAACTGAGGTTGACAGGGTAGGGAGCTACACAGGTCCTGTAGGACTATACCCCAGGCATCCCCACAGCTTCCTCCAGGAGTCCAGCCCTCCTCTGGCTCTGTCCACTGCCCCCATGCCAGGCCCTGCACTGGGGACCAGGAGACAGCCAGCCTGTCTCCTCCAGGGACAGAGGAAATTCCTGACTTGGGAGCCACCAGCTAAGCACTCACAGTAGCTCATTTACAACAGCTCAGAGGATGACCCTGGGCTCAGAGAGCCTGAGCAACTTTCCTAGGGCGCACAGCTACAAGCAACTGGTACTGGATTGCCCCAGCCAGCCCTGCCTGAGTCTCCCAGACGAGGACTGGACCCCAGCCAGGGGCTGCAGGATGGCATGGGCAGCTCCCCAGCACTGTGAGCCTCAGCCTTCTTACCCGAGAAATGGGCGGTGAATTTGGAATTGTCCTGTCATTCTGAGGCAGACAGCTAGGAGAGGCCTGGGCTGGCTCTGGGGGCAGTGTGGCCAGTTTCCTGGTCTGGGAGACATGGGTAATAGCTGTGGGGCTGTCTCCTGGGTAAGGGACCACTGTTTACCTGCTACTGACCCCAAGGCCACAGGCCCTGGAGGTTGGGGATGGTGTGGTCACTCCTGTGTCCAGGCCCATCCAGACCTGATCACGAAACAGCCAGGAGGTGTTTGCAACATCAGACCTTCACAGGGCCCGCTGCTGTCTTCTCCTCAGAAGGCCCTGGGGTTCTCCCCTAACCTGCTCCAGGGGTCTTACCTCATGACTCAGGGAGCTCAGCCTGACCACTTGCCCACTGGCTGGTCCTGGCAGAGCCAGGCTGGGCGTGGAGGCCCGAAACTCAAAGAGCCCTGAGGCCAGAGCTGGGCCCAGGTGCTCCCAGCCATGGGGGCTGGGCTGGTCACCCCCACAGACTTACCCTGCAGCTCCCCAGCTGTGCCCCATGGGTACAGCCAGAGCTGATGCCCCATGGGTACAGCCAGAGCTGATGCCCCAGAGGGGCTCCCTAGCACATCTTCCCCTGACCCCCATGTGAAGGGTTTGGAAATGTCACCAAGAATACGGGAAATGACAAAGGCAGCCACGTCCCTGCTCCCCAAAAGGACCCTGTAGCTTTCTGCCCCTGCGTGCCCCTACTTGAACACCAGGCCCCTGTTGGGGTGGCAGGGGTGGAGGTGGAGTGCCCTCAGTGTCCCTGGGCCACGCGCCCTGTGCCCCTCCCGCCACCTGAGGTCCACACGTCGGACTTAGCCAGAGGCTGTCTGAGCCCCACAAGCGCCAGCCCTGCGCAGCAGTGCCCATGCTGAGCCTGGAGTCTGCAGCTGAGGTCAGAGCAGGCAGCAGGCCACTGCTCACGGCCGGCCCCAAGAGTGGCCACTGTCACGCAGGGCTGAGCGCCCTTGGCCGTGAGCAAGCCTGGCTCTGGATGGGTCTCCACCTTCTAACGCTAAGTGACGCCATCTCCTTCCTGCACAGACCTGCACGCCTCTTCTCGCAGAGTCGGTTCGCCCTGGCCTGGACGAGCACACTCCTTAGCCAGTTATATCCACTATGTGCTCCTAAAGGGGACTCCTTTGTCATGGAGGCATTGGGGGCCCCAGACTGTCTCCATGGCGCTGATGCTAGCTGTGCACCCACTCAGTCTTGGGAGGCAAGGCCTTGCCCACACTGACTTATTTGGAAGTCTCAGACACAGCGCCTGGAGAGCCGCGTGGCTTTGCTTCGGCCTAGCAGGCTCTGAAGATTAACTTCTGAAAAGGAGGTGCAGCCAGCAGAGGCCTGGCCATTAGGCAGCCAAAAGTGGCCTGGCCTCCCTGCTAGTCCAGTGAGGAAGGACAGACAGAGGCGCAGGCCCTCGGCCTGGGTGTGGCAGCAGCAGGGACCCTGGCACAGGGGCAAGGAAGCACAAGGAGGGGGGTGGCTCTGTCCACCTCAGCCTCTTCACTCTGGTCTCTGCTGGCTCAGCCTCGGTTTCCTCTATACAGAGGCAATCTCTGAGGCTGTAAGAAAAGGTAAATGAGAAAGCAATTTGAATTTTTTTAGGTCATTCTCCCCGCCTCCCCATTTTTGTAATTTTGTAGAAGTAAAACACACACACACACACACACACACACACACAAAGAGTCAAAACACAGTAACTATAAAAATATCCACTGTGGCCTCCAAACTTCTTGCACTGCCAGGGTCCAGCTGGCAGGCGGGGGGCCTCCTGTGCATGGGTACGGAGTGGGGTCGCTGGTTAAAGAGCCTGAGGGTCCTGCTGGCTTGGGGCCAGGGCTCTCTCTGTCTGCAGGGATGGCGGAGATGGGGAGACTGTAGTGTCGGGGGTGGGGGGCAGCTAGTGAAATACAGGACAGCCAGTCAAGTGTGACTTGCAGGTACACGGATATTTGAGTACTTATATCCCAAACAGGGAAAACAAAATACACATCGTCTCTGTTTAGCCAGGCTTCCCCAGGTTTGAGCTAAACCTGCAGCCCTGCAGGAGGCACCAAGGCCAAGGCCCTCCTACCTTGGCAAGCAGAGGGTGGGTGGCGCTCTGGGGGAGTCTGAGCCTCCCACTGGGCTGTAGGCGCCAGGAGGGCAGAGGGGGTGTCCGCAGTGCCCGCCTCTGAGGTGGTAGAAGGGAATGAGGGGCCGGGCAGACAACTCCTGGGCCAGCTCTCCAGGGAGACCTGGTTGGTGCAAGGGCTGGAACTCTTGCCGAGGGGCGCCCACCATCTGCTGCGGACCACAGGCAGCCCTTCCTTCCAAGGAGCTGCCAGCTGCCCTGCTCTCGTGGGAGCCAGTCCCACCCCCACCCTGCGAGACTGCCAGTGTCTCTGAGTGGCCTAGAGGCCATGGAACAGGTGTCCCCTCGGTCTTCCCGTAAGACAGGAGCTCTACCTGGCCTCTGTCGTGTTCCTGCTCCTACGGCATGGGGGTGGGGCAAAGACACAGTCTCTGAGGCTTGGGGAACGTGCCTGGTGCTGAGGGCTTCAGACGCACCCCCGTCTCACTCCCAGACGCCCTCAGGAGCAGGCCTGTGCCCTTGACCATAGCACGGGGGACGTGAGTGAGCAGATGGTCAGCAAGGCTGGCACACTCAGTCGCTGCTCAGCTCTGGTCCTCTCTGTAGTGCTGAGGGAGGGGGAAACTGAGGCTGCCGTGTTCATGCACCCTCATGCCACAGGGTGGGTTCTTCTCTCACCAGGTTTGGCTGTCTTCATTATTTTCTGGCTCTGTCCCGGGCTAGAGAACACAGAGCGGATATGGCTTAGGGCGTGAGACCTGGGTCTCACAGGCTGGCTCTGTGCCTGTATGCCAAGGTGCTGCTGGTTGGCCTGAGTGCAGGCTGCTGAGGGAAGACAGGCAGAGGGGCTTTTTGAACAGAGGCTGTTCAAATGGAGTAAAGGGGATGGTTGGGTCAAGGGCCTTATCTGAGGGGAGCCCAGGGCCCGCTTGGGGGCAGAGCTGCACACTCCAGGGATGGGGTCTGAGGAAGGTGGCTGGGAAGGGCAGTACTATGGGGATGGGGACGGGCTTCCAGCCAAGGTGTCCAGGGGGCCCTGGCCAGTGTCCCTAGGCTTTGTGCAACATCCAGACACTGAGGGTAAGGCGGGCAGGAGAGGCAGCTGGGGACCCAGAGCTGAGGGCCCGTGGTCACCTGCGGGGGTGGTCCCCAGGTAGCCAGTGCCGCAGGCACAGCATCACAGCGCTTGCTAGGCCCCGACTCCTGTGCCCTGGTGGACCCGACTCGGGCCCCAGAGGCTTCAGCTGCAGGAGGTCTGGCGTCCCTGGAAGGCCATCTGCTGGGAGCCAGGGCAGGAGGGGGACAGGTCAGTGCCTGCGGGAGTTTTCAGAGGTCCAGTCTTGCTCTGACTCCAGGCCTGGGGCTCAGCCGCGGGAGATGTGGGCAGGTGAGCCCTGGTACTGTCAGCCCGTGTCCAGGCGGCCCTGGGGAGCCGTTGTGAGCCCAGTGTGTGCCGGGACCCAGGCTCAGCAGAGAGCTGTGCGGAGGGACCAGCAGCCCCTGTGCCCCACCTTCAGGCTCAGAAATTCAGGCTGAAGCCCAGCTTGGGTGACTTACAGAACTCACAAGATGACAGTGATACCTTGTGCCGGGCTGTCATAGGCTTTAAGCCCACCACCAGCCGTGGTGGGTTTACTAGTGCCGTTTTACTGTGGGGAAACTGAGGCCCAGGAGCTGCAGTGAACAGTTCCAGCTCGAGGGCTGGTGAGTTGAAGCTCTGAGGAACCAAGGACACCATGTGCTGCCAGGCCAGACCAGGGCAGACCTCACAACCTTAGCACCAAACGCTTCTCCCGGCCCCCGGGCATCTGGACCTGGCTGCCAGTCAGTCCAGAGTCTAGCTTCCATTCCTCCTGCTCCAGGGAGCCACTGCTGCTCCTAGCAGCTGCCAGTGAGCCCAGGGCCTGAGTCCTGCTGCCCCACATGTGGGCCTCACACCAGCTTCCTGTCCCCGCAGTCCTCATCCCGCCGTGCCGGGCTCTGCTGCACCAACTGCCACACTACCCACACCACGCTCTGGCGGCGGAACACAGAGGGGGAGCCTGTGTGCAATGCCTGCGGCCTCTACATGAAGCTGCACGGGGTGAGTGCAGCCCTGCCCGGCCTCAAGGCTGTCCTCCCGTCCTGGCCAGTGCTGGGAGCCCGGGGCAGGATGGCCTCTGTCATGCCCACTGTGCAGATTGGCCCACCCCTGCCATTCCTCCCAGGATGGACCCTGGCATCCCAGTCACGCCAAGCCCGATGGCACTGTGGGAGGTTGGGGTGGGCACTCACAACTGTTCCCACGGGTTCCTCTCACCCTGGCTGGAAAGAAAGAGCTAGGTAGAGCCGCCCAGCCAGCACTGCACCTGGGGCAGGCCCAGGAGTCTGGGAGGGACCGGCTCTGCTGGGCTTCAAGGCTATGCCGGAGGCCCCAGAGGTGAGCAGGGACAGGGACCGGCCACCCACCGTCCTGTCCCCATCAGGTGCCGAGGCCACTGGCAATGAAGAAGGAAAGCATCCAGACTAGGAAGCGGAAGCCAAAGAATGTGGCCAAGGCCAAGGGCTCCACAGGTTTGTGGGGGCTGGGGGGCACCCTGCCGCTGTCCTGAGCTAGCCCAGCCCCTTCCGGGAGTCACTGCTAGAGATGCACACATGGCCTCCCTCTGTGCTCCTAGGCCGCCTGGCTGGAGGAGGGCAGGGTGGTGTGAGCTGGCTAGCAGGGTGCAGAGGATCTGGTGGAGGGAGCCAACACCACCACCACCTCTCACGCATACACACACACACACACACACACCCCTTCATGACTGAGAGAACACACACACACACACACCACCCCCTGCATGACTGAGAGAAGCCCAGACACACACACACACACACACACACACACACACACCCCCCCCTTCATGACTGAGAGAACACACACACACACACACCACCCCCTGCATGACTGAGAGAAGCCCAGACACACACACACACACACACACACACACACACACCCCCCCCTTCATGACTGAGAGAACACACACACACACACACCACCCCCTGCATGACTGAGAGAAGCCCAGACACACACACACACACACACACACACACACACACACACACCACCTCCTACATGACTGAGAGAACACACACACACACACACCACCCCACCCCCTGCAAGGCTGAGAGAAGCCCAGACCTCTGAGCCAGGACGGAGGGAGGCTGGGCCCGTGGTAGGAGGGGAGGCATGGGGCTGCACACCTTCTGGTGCCTCCTTCCCCCAGGATCCACAGCACACGCCACAGCTTCCCCGCCCACGGTCCCCAGCACCGAGTGCTCAGCGGCCACCCTGAAACCAGAGCCCAGCCTGGCATCCCCAGCGTGTGCCGGGCCTGGTGTCGCCTCTCAGGTGAGGAGCACAGTGGGGCAGGGCCCAGGCAGGATCCGTTCTTTCCCAGGGACCCTGACGCCTCCTCTGAGGGTTGCAGAGCCCAGCAGAGCCCCTGTGAGCTGTCCCCAAGGCTCTGTCCTCAACTCGGCTGGGCACATGGCAGCCCCAGCCCCCACAGCCATGCAGGCCTTAATGGGAACCACCCGCCCCACCCCACTCCAGGGTTGGGGTCTTGGGGCAGGTGGCTCTGTCGCAAGCGCTCCTGACCCCAGCACAGTCGCTGCTGCCCTTGCATCTCGCCCACCCCTCCCTGCAGGCCTCCGAGCCGGCAGATGACCCCCTGGCCCCCAGCCACTTGGAGTTCAAGTTCGAGCCCGAGGACTTCGCCTTTTCGTCCACCGCCCTGGGCCCCCAGGCCGGCCTCAGTGGGGCCCTGCGCCAGGAAGCCTGGTGTGCACTGGCCCTGGCCTAGGTCCCCAGACAGCCTAGCATTGGGGGAGCTCCCCAGGACAGCACCCACAAATCCACGCGGTGCCTGCAGACCATGGAGCCCACCTGCCCTCCGAGACCGGCCCCCTGGAGTGAGTCGGGTGGTCACAAGTGTCACCAGCAGTGGTGGGGACGCTCCTGTGCCCCGGCCCAGAGGGAGAGAGGAGCCAGAAGGAAAGGACGCACCCCACCTGACAGCAAGGGACTGCCACGCCCTGCAGCCAAGGTCGACTTGAATTCCCTTGTCAGCACTCACACATTTCAGCAGCATTTCCAGGTTGCAGCAGCTGGGGAAGGCTCCCAACTTGCTTCTGTAAAACCCGGATTCCAAGCCGGCATGGTGGCACACACCTGCCATCCCAGCACTTGGGAGGCTGAGGCAGGAAGATCGCCAGGAGTTCGAGGCCACCCTTGGCTACACAGCAAGTTCTAGGCCAGCCTGGACTACATAGCGAGACCATGTCTCAAAAAATCAAAAAGACCAAAAAACAAACAAACAAAAAAACTACCTGGATTCCAAGTGAAATACCTGAGGCCACCCCAGTAGCAATGGGGGACCCTGGGCGTGGGGTCTACTGGGGCCTCAAGGTCTTCCTCTCCACATTCGAGGGAGGGCGCCGTGGTACACAGTCGTTCCCCTCCCAAGGGCGCAGGACTGCCAGGGTCAGAGGTGTACATTGTACACTATACTAGGACACCACCCCAAGGAGGAGCCGGCCACACTGCAGACCTCCCCAGCTGTGTGTTTGTTTGGATGGCTTCGCAGAGGGCGCAGTAAAAGGCCTTGTTCGGATGGGGTCTATGTCCTGTGGCCACTCTGCATCTTCATGAGGAGAGGGCGCTCTCACTCTGGAGCTCAGGCTGGCTGTATACTTGCAGTGACCCTCCTGCCTCAGCCTCCTGAGCACTGAGATTGCAGGCATGTGCCACCATGCCCAGCACATGGCCACTTCTTAATGGCAGTGTGACGTGTCTGGGGGCCCCCTTAGGACATAGGCATTTTCGGGGGCGGGGGGCGTGGCCGCCTACTCTGGCTTAGCTGGGAGTGTCCAGCACAGTTATTAACACTGCCACACTGGGGCATGCTGGGAGCCTGATGTTGGGGAGCAGCAGGGAATGAGGTGTGTGGGGAGCCACGTCCCCACACTCACCCAGTTGCAGCTTTTCTCCAATAGGACCTGATTTTTCCAGGGAAGCCAGAACCTATATGTTTTTACATGTGAACTCCTAATTCAAAACTTTGGCCGGGCATGGTGGCACACGCCTGTAGTCCCAGCACTCTGGAGGCTGAGGCAGGAGGATTGTTGCAAGTTCGAGACCAGTCTGGGCTACAAAGTGAGCTCAAGACCAGCCTGAACTGCATAGTGAGACCCTGCCTCAAAAAGACCAAAAAAACCCACTTTGTTTAGAACTTCCATCTTGATTGTAGAGTCCCTGAAGTATAGCCAGTCAGCTGTAACCCAGCTGACCAGAGGCCAGCGCGTAATGGACACTGGTTTAAAACCTTACACCTAAATGCAGAATCGTCCGCCCGGAGGCCGGGCCTCCAGCGTCTCCAGTCCAGTTTCCGCCTGAGGATGCTGGGTTTCTGAGACAGTGAAGCCTGACCCCATGATGCCACGGCCCAGAGCCCTGTGCAGCCCCAGCCAGGCCCCTGACCACGGGCAGCGGCTTTAAGGTCCTCAGTGGGTGGGGAATGGACGCTGGGCAAAGCAAGACAGCGGGGGACACCAGGCGCTGGTGCTCAGGGTGGCACAGGGTGGCCCTGGAGGTGCGGCAGAGGGTGAGGTGACGGCGTCTCCACCCAGTGGGCCCTGCTTGAGCCTCCTTGCTGTGCCTACTTCAGGAAAGCTGCTCCGACACCCGCGCCAGCTCCAGGCCCCACATCCACCAGACCCGGCTCAAGTGAGACCCCAGGCAAGGGCCTTGTCCTGGTCCCTGCCATGGGGTGTTTGCAGCTCCGTGGGAGGGCGCAGCACCCTCACCCTAAGCCCTAGTGCCAACTGAGAAGACGCCTGGGCTTCAGGCCTTGGTCTGAGAGGTCCCAGGTGTGAGCACCGCGGCGTGAACCCCCAAACCCACCGGGGCCTGGCAGGCACCACGGACCCTGGGCCCTCTCCACTCGACCATGGGCATGCTGCCATCTGTCCTGGCCTAGAGGCCTTGGGACCTGCCCAAGGGCCCATTCCCAGGTGAGGAAACTGAGGCACGGAGGTAGGTGGTCTCCTGGCCAGGGAAGGCTTGGTGCCTGTCGGAGCCCCTGCATAGCCGCTCACATCTGCTTCCCACCTTAGCCCAAGTCGGCAGGAGCAGCAGGGACAGTGACCCCCGAGCGTCCACCAGGCCACAGCAGACTGCGGCCCACCCAACCTCAGTATCCAGGCGCCAGTGAGCCTCCGGGGACGGGTCCACGAGCGAGGTTCCTCCTGCCCGATGAGAAAGCACCAGGGCCGTGTGGCTGCATGAGGGCGGGGCACAGGGCCACAGTGTGGTCCCCACTGCAGTGCTTTCCCTGGCGGCCCCATGGCATGGGCCAAGTCTGTACCACTCGTGTAGCCTGGGCAGCCCCTGGGAGGCCCCAGATACATAGCTGGTGCCAGGCACTGACCCACAGAGAGGCTCCCAGCCCTGCCATGGCAGCAAGTGTGTACCTGGACGTATGTCCCCTCGACTGGAGGGTGTCCCTGGCCTCCCACCCAATGCTCAGTCCTAGGCACCCTGGGGAAGGGAGAAGACCCCAGTGAAACCCAAATCTCAGGCATATGGTGTATAGACAAGAGGGGCCCAGGGTTCATCCGGTGAGGTTTGTAGAGGGGACCTTTTCTCCCTGCTCCCACACGTGCTCAGCCCCCACCCGCTCCTGGGCCTCGCTGCGGGGTCACGGTGTATCCGGTGTGCTCGCTGCGCACAAGGGCTGCACCTGGACCCTCTTTGGGTTCTATGTGTGCTGGGGATGGAACCAGGGCCCCTCTCACGCTAAGCAAGCACGGTACCCTAATCCCTTCCCCAGCCGCCTTATGTGCTTTTGGCAGAACGGCTTCCGAGGCCGCTCTTCAAGGGGCAGCTGAATCTTGGGGACACCATCATGTCTCCCTGCACAATGACTGGAGCTTCCAGGGGTGCAATCAAGATGAAGGGCCATTTGTCCATTGTCAAAAAGAAGATGAAGGGCTGGGGATTTAGCTCAGTGGCACAGCACCTGCCTGGCAAGCGCAAGGTCGTGAGTTCGATTCCTGGTACCAGAAAAAAAAAAAAGAAAAAAAAGATGGTTCATTACAAGCGGAGTTGAAGTCTCTAAGGCACCCATATGCAAATTGTGGCGTGTGTCTGAGTAGGGAAAATCGCAACCTGGGGAATGACAAAAGATACCAGTGTCTGATTTGACCCAGTAAGGACTTTTCTTAGAAAAGCCCACTTACTGTCACTGTCATCGGATCTGTCACCAGCATCAGCGCTGTCACCAAAAACACCGAAACTGCAGTGCCCCGAGCCGGGCCATCTTAGGAAGGGCACCAACTTCCCACACGCCCTTGCTGCTGCCCTTTGCCGTGACCACAGACTGTTCTGAGGGTGCTCGTGGCCGCTCCCCAGGGTGTGTGGACGGTGTGCGGGACAGAAGCAGCTGAGGGGCGGAGAGCGGCCGGAGCCACACAAAGGCAGGGCGGGGCCGAGCCCTGGCCACACAACCCAGACCCATGCTCTCCTTGAAAGGGATGCAGGCCCCCTGGCCCCAGGCCCCATGATTGTAGGGACTGCAGACCTGTGGCCAGATGTGTCAGAGCCTCAGAGCCTCTCTAGTCCCACGGGCGCTGCCTGGGGTGGGCAGCAGCTGGCATCTCGGCTCCCTGGAGGCCTGGGCTCAGTCTCAGGGCTCAGCTGGTCAGCCACCCAGGGGTCCCCAGCTTCCTGTTCCACCTTCTTGCAGCTCCTGGCTTGTCATGGCCAGGTCACCCTCCTCACCAGCCAGCCAGGCTGGGCCTCATCCCCACCTGGCCCAAGCCGGGTCCTCAGAGAGCAAACACAGGTCTCCCCGGGCTCATCGCTCAAGGGGACAGCGGGTCCAGGGAACCCAGCCCTTGGGCGCTGACGTCCACCACATCTTGCTCTGGGTAAGACATAGGAGGCTCTGCACATGGGCTCCATTCTGCAGATCAGAAAGTGAGGCCAGGGAGTTACAGCCCTGCCAGGCTTCGGGCAGGCAGACCCTGAGGTGCCTGAGCGCCCCCCTGCGTGCACTTTAATGGAGACTGAACCAAAGCAGAGGGGGCTGCCTACCCCCCCAGGGGAGGCTGGCCCTCGCAGCCACGCAGGGCAGGGTGGGCAGCCGCAGCCCCTCCTTGCAGCGCCCTGCACAGCCGCCAAGACGTTGACACGGACGGCTCCAGCGGCCTTATTTATGATCTGATAACGTGCCCTTGCCCTGGTGGACGGCGTCTGGCTGTGCTGGGGCCGGGAGGCCTGGGGGAGGAGGAAGGCCGTGGGGACCGCGCCAGTCCCAGCTGCACCTCAGGCCAGGCTCCCACCCTGGACTCCGGGCCAAGGCACAAGATAACTTGGTTGTCGGCCTGTCTTTGATTGTGTCCTCTGAGCCAGCAGGCCAGGGGTGAGTGGCCTTGGGGCCTCCCTGCATGGGATGTCGCACACATGCCCCAGAGACCTGCGCCCCCTGCTGCCACTCCCTGCCCTCCCAGATGGCCCCCCACACCCTTCACGGCTTCTGCCTCAGCCCGTCCCCCTCACCCTCCCCTTGGTGCAGAGCTTGGACTTCCCATGGTGTGCATCTGGGCCCATTTGTCCTTTACCCGACACACTCCGGCTCCCTCACAGCCCAGCTTGGCACAGCTGGCCTGGCCTTGGCGCCCCACGCCTCGGGGTTCCCTTTTCTTGGCACCCCTCGCAGGTACGGAGATCCAGACACGGCACAGCTCTGGCCCTTTGCACGTGCCATTTCCTCTGCCCACTCCCATGTGCGGGTCTAGCTGGTGACTCAGGCGTCAAGGCCCTCTGATGCCCCCCTCCTCCTTCATAGAGTCTTGGTGGGAGCACTAGGAGGTGACAGTCCACAGACTCCTGCTACCCTACTCGGAGGTCAAGTGTGCTGGCCAGCCCAGGAGGCCTCTTCTGGAGAAAGCAGCGTGACCATACCTGTGAGCCTGGGCATGTGCACACCAGGCTGTGCAGACCTTGTGATGGGAGACGGTGAGCTCCGCCTTCCTTGTGTGCAGGGCCCCCACTGCCATCCAACATGGCCCTCGGTCCAGCAGACAGAGCTGTCACGCCCACACCCATAGCGCCACGCCCACGGCGCCCTGGGCAGTGGAAAGAAGGGAGGTGCCCTCAAGAGGGATGAGTTAAATACTTGGGGGATGTGCATAGCTGAGACCTCAAGGACCAGGCA